CTTCCTAGGGACACTACTTACATGTCCCTACAGACCCCACTGAAGGCCTTCCACCATGGGTCCGACTCCTCAGTGGAGGTGATGTGTTGGTCCATGCATTTCTGACAAGAGGGAGAGGGCAGATGAAGGGGCAAAGGGGTAGCATTTGACAGGGGAGGGACAGGGGAGGCCAGGTGGCTGAGATCACTCACCTGGTGGAACTCACAGGTGACACCTTCCCCAGCATCACGGCACCACGTGGCCACTTGTTTCTCAAAGGCCTGGGCAGAGATCAGAGAGGGGTGTGAGCAGGGTACCCTCATCCCAGTCCTCTCCTGGGTAGGGCTGGCATGGTGCCCACCTTCAGGTCCACGGTGGGTGGGATGCGGATGTCAAAGCTGGCAGCCATCTCGGAGGGCACCACATTGAAGGAGACACCCCCCTCCAGCATGGTCATGTTGAGAGAGGTGACATCCCCTAGGGTCAGGCTGGAGTCGGACTTGAGCCTTGGGGAATGCAAGGGACACTCACCTGGGGAGAAGCGCTTCCCTACCCTGTCATCACCCAAAGTGGGGAAACTGAGGCACAGGGCAGCAGCACCAGATCACAGCTGGGCTTGGGATCCCAAAGGCTCCCTTCATGGACTGAACTAAGCCACTGCCATCCTGCTGCCCGTCTCCTACCTCTGCTTCTCGCTCTCCCTGAAGGCCAGGAAGGAGTTGATGACTTTGTGCTGAGGAGGGAAGGGCAGTGGGTGAGCACCAGCCCTGTGGGCAGGGGCCTGGCAGCCCAGGGCAGGCATGGGGGTGCACAGGGGTACCCCTCTCTTACCATCTTCTCAGCCGCCGTGTTGCTGATGAAGCGGGACCCATGCCCGGGGCTACCCACGCACTTCACCTTTATCCCTGCAGCAGTAGGCGTAGAGGGAAGGGCTGAGCAGAAAGCCTGGCACAGCATCAGTGCCCCAGCACCCAGGAGAGCCAAGGACAGGGCAGTGGACACACAGATACTCACACCATGGGCTCCTCTCACCATAGAAGACACTGAAGGTGTCAGATGGGCTGGCCAGGCCTGTGGTGGGCACAGACAGGGGGTCAGGGGGACATGGAGGTACCATGATGTGCCACTCTGCTCTGTCCTAGCAGCATTTTCCTCCAGACTGGCACTCCCCACTGCCCAGGGGAAGGATCCCCCAAGGGGGTCCCTGGAAGCATGTGGGGTGCTGGTGCCTGGGGAGTGATGCCAAGAGAGACACGTCCCAGTGCCAGCCCTACCAATACTCACCCTCATCCATGGCAAAGCCCACGTTGAGTGCTTTAAACTCAGGGCGCTGCACAAACATCTCCATGCCCTTGTGTCCGCCCACCTCCTCATCTGTGGGCGAGAGCCTTGCATGGAGGAAGGAACATGGGGTGGTGGGCATCCCCCAGCCCACCACCCCTAGTCCTCCTTCCATGCCAGCCTGGATGCCATCAGCACACCTGATGTCCTCTCCAGCCTTGAGCTAGGGGAGGTCAAAATCTGGGGAACCTGGCTGGGGGGTGCCTGGCTGCCATGGGAGACTCCACAGCACCACCCAGCTGCCTTCTGTACCTCCTGAGAGGGGACAGCCTGGGGACTCACCAGGCACAAAGGTGAGGTGGATGGTGCGGGCAAAAGACTTCCCTTCTGTCTTCAGCCTCCGGATGGCCTCAAGGTACCTGGCAAGGGAAGGGAGTGTACGGTCATTGTGGAGGGGAGGGGCTTGTGTGCTCTGAGCCACCTCAGGGCAGAGGTGGCACCTCTGGCTCCAGAGACCCTGGGGATAGTGGCATCCTGTCCTGCATCACTCAGAGACACCACCAGCACCGTGCTCACCCAGCAGGTGCAGAGCCCTCCACTCACTGGATGGAGACGCACTTCATATCCTGGGCACCCCGGGCGTAGATGTTGCCTTGCGAGTCTTTAACTGCCTCGAAGGGTGGGTAGGTCCAGTGCTCCTGCAGGGAAGAGCATCCACAATGGCAGAAGGGCACAGAAAGCACCAGCTCCCCTCCACCCTGTCCTCCTCTCCATGCCCTTCCTGCCCCTCGCTCTGTTCCAGCACCTCGAAGACAGGCACAACATCAGTGTGGGAGTTGAGAAGGATGGAGCGCAGGCGGGGGTTCGTGCCCTGCCAGGTCAGGATCAGCACCACACGGCCCTGGCACACCTGTGGGACAAGGCAGGATGTCACCAGAGTCCAGGATAGAGACAGAAAGGCTTGGACCAGCAAGCTGGAGCCAAAAACCATCAGCTTGGGAAAAGTTTCTGTTGCCACCTGCTATCCCTTTCTCCACTGGGAGAGGACAGGCAGCAGGAGCAGGCCTGCCTGAACCCCCACAGCCAGACAGAGCCTGGCTGCAGGTGCCAAACCTGGCTGAAAATTCAGAGGAGGGAAGACAAACCCAGCATCTTGCCCTGGTGCCCAGGAGTCTCCCAGGACAGCCAGTGCCCAGCAGGAAGGATGGCCCCAGCCAGTGTGACGCTGCCAGGTCCCCTGCTAATCATAGCACAGGCAGCTGCAAAGGTCAGGAGGGAGCAGCCAGAATACTGGCTTAAGGAAGGGCTCAGGTCAGCACAGGATTACAGGCACAGGGGATTCACTCCTGTCTAGCTCTGGCTGCAGGCAGAGGAACATCTTGGTCAGTAAGGACCCAAGAACAGGTGGATAGATGGATGGATGGGTGGGTGGACAGACTGAAGGCTGCTTCTTGGCTTGCTCACCTCCACTTTTTGGCAGGCCAAGCCCAGCTCGGTGCCAACACGTTCCAGAAACTGGACAGCCGCATCTGGGGAAGAGTGGGATGCCCATGGTTACACTGGGGTCTCTCATTGCAAACCCCCAGGGACCCCAAGGCTCTGTGGGATTCCCAGACCAAGGAAAGAGGTGACAAAAAAGGACAGGTGCTGCAGGTCCTGGACACAAGAAGTGGCCATGAACAGGGACAGGAGCAGCTCATCACCATCCCTTTGGGGTGAGGACTTGGGAAATATAAAAAGAATAAAAATGGAAGGGGGTGAGTTCAGGGGGAATGTTTCCCCAGTGAAGTTTAGGGAGCTCCTCACCAATAAAATGCACTTTAGCGGGAAGACATAAATGTTAACATTAGGAGATCTAATGACACAGAAGGAGATCACCCATCCCAAGGCTGCATGGAAAGGGGAGCAAGGGGCACTGGGCTAGAAGAAGCAAACAGTAGCTCTGAGGGCACTTGAGATGTCCCTGCCCCAGCCAAAGGCACCAGCAGAGATAAGGCACAAAGGAGTTCGCTCCTTAACACCACGATCAAAACAGCCCCAGAACAGGACTTGGGCACCTGGGTCCAAAGATCAGAGCTGCAAAGCTGCATTATCCAGTCCCCACATGGCTCCCCGTCCTTTCCCCCATCCTCACCATAGTCAGGTTTAGGGTGGACAGTGTCAATCCTCAGGTACTCCCGGAAAAGCGTAACCGAGGGGTTCTCTGAGGCCCCCGTGCTCTTCCCAGGCTTCCCAGGTGCCATGTCTGGGACCAGGGCTGCAAAGCTCTGGGGAAAGAGCTGCAAGATGGTTAATCACCCACCAGCCCCTCCAAAGTCCACCTGCATGCTTGGTCGTCACAGAAACCAAAGGGAGATGGGGCAAAGGTCTCCGCCATGCGACTCCTGGGACACTGCCACCATGGGAGAAATCCCCCCCACTTGGGTACAGGGCAGGATGGGGCGTGCCCCCCACACTGTCCTGTCATTCTTCCCCCAAAACACATGTTCCTGCCCCAAACACAGTGCCAGGACAGGCTATGGTGCCCAGGCAAGGGGTGAAATCCAGGGAAGGGCTAGCTGGGAGGAAAGGGGGGCAGCTAGGTGGGGGAGTATGAAGAAGGGTAAAGGGGAAGAAGGATATGTTGGGTAGGGAAACATGGTAGTTGGAATTATCCAGGGGTTAGAGGTTTGTGGGAATGCTGGGCGATGCAGGCAGAGAAGGCAGGAAGCTGGTGAAGGGGGTGCAGGTGGGGAAGGGGGGCTACTGCCTGTCTAGGGGGTGCAGGAGAACTGCAAGGAAAGGCTCTGGGGGTGCAGGGAAATGGGAATGGTGAAGGGGGATTGAGTGTTAACAGAGAATAGAGGTACTAGGGGACCACATTAGGGTGACAGGCTGCTGTGGGAGCTGTTTGAGGGAAGCTGGGTGGCTGGAGGAGCAGGAGGATGTGGGGTGCTTAGGGGCACATGGGGGTTCAGCAGGAGGGGTGAATGGGGGTATGGGAGCAGGGGGTGCAGAGAGGCTATGAGGGGTGCAGTGGGACTGCGGTTAGGGGGGCAGGGGTGCACAGGTGGGGTACAGGGGTACGATGGCTGGGGTGCAGGCAGGCGGCACAGTGGGGTGCAGGGGTACCATGGCTGGGGTGCAGGCACACCATGGATAGGGTCGAGGGCAGCGCAGGGGGCACTGTGGAGCTGCAGGGGTACCGTGGCCAGGGGGGTACGGGGTGAAGCAGAGGGCAGGCAGGACACCATGGTTAGGGCTGCAGCAGCTGCGTTCCTGGGGTGCAGGCGTAGCATGGGCAGAAGGGCAGAGGGTGCTGGATAGTGCGGTTGGGGGTGCAGAGGGTGCAAGATACCATGGCTAGGGGTGCAGAACAGTGCGGCAAGGGAGCGCAGGACAGTAGAGGAGGGGTGCAAGGGCGGGGGTGCAGGGTACCTCGGCCCAGGTTTAAGGGGGGCGAAGGCACCGGGGCACCCACCCGCGGGCCGCCGGGCGCTGCTGGCCGGCCCCGCTGCTCGGCCCCCCGCCGCCCCGGCCCTACCTCAGCGCCGCCGCCGCTTCCCGCCCGGCCCCGCTCCGCCCGCTACGCCCCGGCAGCAGCGGGCAGGAGGCGGGCCGGGGAGGAGCGGGGCGCGCAGGAGGGGCAGGGCGCACACGAGGGGCACACGGCACACTCCTGGCCCCACACAGGCTGCAGGGAGATGGGGCTGGAGCTCGAGGAGCCCCGCGGCGCTTGGGGACACACGCAGAAAGCAGAGCAGCATCAGTTTATTGGCCTCGTGACAGACGACACCCTGTCCTGCCAGCAAGGGACACCTCCGGTCCCACCCCCCGCCATCCTGGGGATACCCCAGGAGGAAACAGCATCCCTCATGCCAGCTGTCTGTGCCTCCCAGCCCCCCGGACGCCCCAGCCCCTCGGCTTGGCAGGGAGGAGGCGGTGCTCACTTCAGCTGGTGCAGGAAGCCCAGCAGGGCCCGGTGGAAGTCCTCTGGCTTGTCCAGGTAGCAGGCATGGCCAGCACCAGACAGCACGGCCACACGGTGATTAGGGAGGTGCTGGAGGTTCTGCAGGGCCTGGGGAGCCAGGCCAGTGTCATGGTCACCATACAGGATCAGGGTGGGTGTCTTGGTAAGGGGACAGAGAAAACAAGAGCAGCTGTCAGAGGGGTAAATGGCCACCACACTCCCCTGGGGCTGTGCCCACCTCCCTCCATCACCACGGGGGGCTGCAAAGCTGAGGGGAGGCAGGTGCCAGAACCCCCACGAGCTGGGGGTCACAGGTCCCCCTCACTCATCCCAAAATAGTGCCACCCTGCACATCACCCTGCAGCCAGCTGGCCCACAAGGCTTGCCAATACCCAGGACAGTCCCCAAGAGCCCAAAGACCCACCTGGACTCCCCGGTACTGCTCAGCAGTGTAGTCCTTGGTGCCCACGGGTGCGATGGGCACAAAGCCGGCCAGCCGGTCCCCGTGCGCCAGGACGAAGGGCAGGGCAAAGCGGCCGCTCATGGAGGGGCTGATGAGGACAGGCCTCTGCATGCCCAGCTCCTGGAGAACACGGTCCAGGAAAGCCTTGCGGCCCTGTGCTGTCAGCGCCATCTCCACTGGGGGTGAATCCCCATAGCCTGGTATGGGGAAGAGGGCATGGGGTGGTCAGGGGGCATTGTGCAGCCTGCAGTGGTCTCTCCTCACCAGGGTTCAAAACGGACCCTTGATCAAGCCCCAGGGTTGTACAGTCGCAGCCATCAATGCCCCAGGACACAGACAAACCCCAGGCACACTGCCCCAGGGATCACCAGCAGCTACCCAGAGCCCTTCCTGAAGAGATCCAGAACCCAGCAGTGACTAAGGCAAGGGGCTGGAGCTGCCATAAGAGATCAGCTAAGCACAGTGCCATGCTCCTACCGGGCAGATCTATTGCGACCGCACGGTACCCTTCTCCAGCAAGCAGTGCCAGTGTGCCCAAGGCCTCCCACGTCATGGAGGTGAACGCCTGGCCGTGCAGGAACAGGACATCAGGCCTGCGGGGGAAGACAGGCGGGAAGGGGTTCAGGAAGGGTGCCGTGCCCGCAGCGACCACGGCGGCTGGTGAACACCGGCCCCAGGCCTGCCGCCCCCACTGCCGGCGGGCTGACCCACCTCCCGGAGCCCACAGCTGCTGCGGGAACCTCCCTGTAGAACACGGGGGGCTCTTCCGCAGCCATCCCCGTCCGCACCGTGCCGTTGGCCGCCCGCCAACCCCACTTCCCCTCGTCAGGCCGTGAGCGCCGGGCGGCCGGCAGCAAGAGGTACAGGAGGAAAGTGAGGAGCGCCCCGAGGAGCAGCAGCCCCAGGCGGCTGCGGGCAAGCAGCATCTCCGCTGGCGCTGGAGGAGAGCGGCAGCGCAGGGCTGCGGGACCCCAGCCCCGCTGCTGCGGGGAAACAGGTCCCGGTCCCCGCTGCTCTGCTCAGCTCCGGACCAGCCCGAGCCCCCACCCGGCCCCGGCCCCGGCCCCGGCCCCGCCGGGCCCCGCCTGGCGGCAGCCCGCGGCACTACAGCCCCGAAGGACAGAACGGGCGGGGCCCGCAGCGGAGCCCCGGCTCGGGCGATCGGCCGGGGCTCGGCCAAGCTTGGCAGAGCTCGGCAGAACTCGGCTATGTTCGGCAAGGGCTCGGCGGCTCTCGCCACAGTTCGGGCAGCGCTCGGGCTGGGCTCAGTACTGCAGGGCAAAGCTCGGGTACTGGTCGACAGCGCTCGGCCTGGCTCGGTAGAGTTCGGGTAGGGCTCGGTTTTGCTCGGCAATACTCGGCTCTGCTCGGGAAAGCTCGGCTTCGCTTGGCGGGGCAGGGGTTCCCGGGGCCGCCCCGGACCTTGCGCTCCATGACGCGGTGCCGCCGTTCTCTCGCCCGCCCCGCCGGTCTTTGGCCCCGGGGCGCGGCACCCCCAGTCCCGTGGTGCGGCGGGGAGGAGGCGAGCGGCGGCCGGCCCCGTGTGCGGAGCAGCAGGTAAGGGCTGCAGGCCCAGCGATGGACGGGGAAACTGAGGCAGGGGCGGGCCCGTCAGGCCGCCTGGCACATCAGTGACCCCGGTGGTGCCACCACAGCGAAGATGATGCCGGTGTGACCCTCATAGCCCTCTTGCCACCACCGGGCCTCGATAGGGCAGAAGGCCCATCAGCCTTCCCGTTCCCACCTCTCACCCCACTTAACAGCCCCCCGGCCCCCAGGCATGGCCACCCCGCGGGTCACCGAGAGCACCGTCACGGTGCAAGGACAGACCCTCTTCTACCGCCAAGCTGACCCAGCCCAGGCAGTGCCGAAGCTGACAGTGCTGCTGCTGCATGGCATCCGCTTCTCCTCCGAAACCTGGCTGCAGGTGGGGACACTCGCCACGCTGGCCGAGAACGGCTACCGAGCCGTGGCCATCGACCTGCCGGGTAAGGTGTGGTGAGCACAGCCCTAGAGACAGGCGGGGTAGCCACTGGTTTGTGGTGCAGGATGGCAACCCCGGTGTCCTGCTGTGTTGTGCTGTGCTGTGCTGGCTTCTCCGTGTCATTCAGGCAGCGTGGAGCCTGACAAGGCCACTTGTGTGTCACACGATTCAGGGCTGGGGCGCTCAAAGGATGCTGTGGCCCCAGCACCCGTGGGCCAGCCAGCACCGGCGGCGTTCCTGAAGGCAGTTTCAGAGGCTCTGGACCTGGGTCCAGCTGTGGTGATCAGCCCATCGCTCAGTGGCATGTACTCGCTGCCCTTCCTCTTAGAGCACAGCCAGCTCTTCAAGGCCTATGTACCTGTGGCGCCCATCTGCACTGAGAAATTCACAGCGGAGCAATATGCCCAGATCAAAGTACGGCCTGGAAGGGCACTGGGGAGGTCGGGGAACTGGGAGGGGATGGTGCAGAGGGGATCCTGGCACCGGGGTTGAGCAGGGGAAAGGCCAAACAGGCCAGAAACCCAGTTGCCATTGAAAGAGGAGAACCTGATGATGAAGGAATGTAAATGTGGGGTAATGGGACGTAAAGAAGGGACAACTGGAGACCCAGGAGTCTGAGCTTCAGTTTCCCTTTGTCATGCTGTATAGGGGAGAAGGGCAAGTGACTCCCCTCCAGGGTGTCCCTGGCAAGGAGGAGCAAGTGCCTGCGTGACACCTGCAAGCTCAGGGTGCTTTCCCCCTCTACAGACCCCCACGCTGATCGTGTATGGGGACCAGGATGCGGAGCTGGGGCAGACCAGTCTGAACAACCTGCGGCACCTCCCTGAGCACCAGGTGCTGATGCTGCAGGGTGCAGGACACGCCTGCTACCTGGACAAGCCCAATGAGTGGCACCGTGGACTCCTGGCCTTCCTGCAGCAGCTGAAGTGAGCAGGATGGGACCACAGAGCAGGAGGATGTGGCCAGCCCACCCACCCCTCTGTCTGCACATGCACCCTTGTGCCAAACCAGGTGCTTGGCTGGCACTCACACTGCACTGGCCCACACCAGCGCCCACCTCTCTTGAGACCAAATAAAACCCCAAGCTCTGCCACTGCTTTCCTGCCACCTTCATCCTGCTTCTTTTCCATCTCTCCCACCTCCTTCCCCCATCCCTTGTCCGTGGCTGCTGTCCCACACAGGTCTGGGGGGTGACAGCAGGGAAGATGGAGCGACTGAGGGATGGAACATTTGGGGATTGTGGATGGGTGAGTGCCAGCCTTGCTGGAGCCCACCCATCACTTCTGACGGGACCCCCATGAACCTCACAGGGTGCCCAGGGAGCCATGTGGCTGTGTTCTGGGACAGGTAGGTCCCCCAAGGTAGTGACATCCATGTCCCTAGCCGGCCAGCCTCCTCTTCATCCTCCTCTTCCTCCTCCTACCCCTCCTGGCATGCGCCCAAGTCCAGGGTAATCCACAGGGGCTTAAAAGGGAGCTGCCAGCCCTGGGAGGCTCCTGCCCACGGCAGCACCCTGGGGAAGTGGGGGGCGATTTACCCAAAGAGTGGCTGCCATGAACAAATGAGGGGGTGGGCAGGGAGGCCTGACAGCAGGGGACAAGACCCCTGCCTGCCACCTGCCTGCTCTGCCTTTGGTGCTGCTGCACGGGCACTCGGGGGCACAGATGGAGCCAGCAGCAGGGTGCCCCCCCCAGTGCCCCCCCTTCCCCAGGCTTGCCTGGGCTTTAGCTGCTTACGCCAGGGCCCAGGAGGATTTAGTGGGGGAGGTAAGGGGGGGAGGGCACTTTTCTGTGGGTGCAGGATGCCTGTGTGGGGGACACAAGGCAGTGCCAAGGGTGCAGGAGCTGGTCTCCGCCCTGGCAGTCTGGTAGGACCCCTGTGTGGAGCATCACTGACCCCCCAGGTGGCTCAGGTCCCCTGTTGCTCTCCCGACCCCCCCATACACGGGTGCTCCTGCCCCTCCAGGCACCACCTCTCAGCAGCAGCCCGGGGTGCCAGCGGGCCTTGGGGTGCCAGCTGCCCCATCCCTGCCCGCTCCGGTGTCCTTGAGCCCTCGAGCCCTGCCAGCTGATCGGCTTCCAGGAAAAAAACCACGCAATTACAAAGAGGGGCGATGTGTGAGCCAAAGGGAGGGGGGCCGGGGGGGCCAGGAATGTCCCCAGCGGTGGCAGATGGCCTTACCCAGGGTGCATTGTTCCTTTTAGTGTCTCTTATCCGCTGTAATAGGATCCCGGAGGGAGGGATGTGGGAGAGGGGAAGAGCAAGGGGGGCCCCGGCGTGGACCGGGGTGGGGGCCGGGGCTGCCAGCTTGGCCCTGGCCTGTCAAGCGGCTCATTGTTCCTGCCCCGGGTGTCACTGGGCGCCGCCGGGGACAATGTGGCACTGAGAGGGGCGGCCGGCGGTGGAGGGACGAGGCGCACGGAAAGGTACCCGCCAGGCCGCACTCCCGCGGGGACCAGGGGGCTCGGGGCAGCCGGGAGGGCGAGAAGAGAGAGGTTTCCCCGGGGACGGGGTGGGGGCTTCCTCCTGTCGTCCCCCCTCCCTTTGTCACCCGAAGGTGCCCCGAAGGACGGGCGGCGCCCAGCTTGGTGGCTGTGCCAGTGCCAGCCATGGCAGGTGGCCCGTGCCCATCACCGGGGCCTTTGGCGTCCCTGCCAGCCTGCCTCACCTGGGGGACAGCCCCCCTGCCCGCAGACCCCCCAGGCGTTGTCTGTGGCAGTGGGGGGACACCCGTGGCCCTGCTGCGTTCCCCCGTCCCATCGCCAGCCTCATCCCTCTTCCCCCGGCAGGGTCTTTGTCCCTGGCGGATTCCTGCTGCCATTCATCCCAGGGGGACCGGGGACCCTGGCCGGCTGCGCGTCCCTGCCGGCACCCCACACATCTCCGGATGCCGCGGGCAGGGTTCATTCCTCCCTCCCCCTCCGCCCCGCTTCAGGCTCCCCTGCACCAGGATCGGGAATATTCCCCCTCTCCAGTCTCTCCACCTTTCTCCAGCCCGCGGTAACAGGGAGGTGGAGACGGGGCGTTCACCCCCCGGGGTGGGAGGCATAGCACCTAGGGGCTGCGCCCCCGCCCCCCGTTTCCCTGATGCAGGAGATGTGCTGTGGCGGTGACGAGTCCTGCCAGCACCTAAAATAGCCGCCCCCCCCGCCATGCCCGCGGCCGCGGCCCCAGCCTCAACACGGGTGCTTTGTTTCAAAGCTGCTTGGCATCGCCCGGCTTGCCGGGAGCCAGCGGTGCCGCAGCCGCCCACCCGGGCCTGGACACACAGTAATTGTCCTGCTCCCAGGGGCCCTGCCGCCCACGGCCACCCGGGCACAGCGTCCGGGGGGCCCTGGGGTGCTCTAGGAGGGGATATGGTGCAGCGGCGTCAGTCAGCTGCATCGTGGTGTGGTTTGGTTGGGGTGGTCCCCGTCTGGGAGCTTGCCTCAGTGTCCCCTGGGGCTTTGTGCATGGGCACGGGAGGGAGGAGGAGAAATAAGGTGGCTTGCATAGCCTGTGAGACCACACAGGCCACCTCTGTTCTCCCCACTCCAGCAGGCGTTTGCAAACAGAACCCTATCCCACAGCCACGATCCACACGCCTTGCGTCCTCTCCCTGTATCCATCCAGTTCCTGGCTTTGTGCAGGACAGCCCAGAGGCAGCTCAGGCAGACACATAGCAGCGGGTCCCTTTTGGAGGTGCAGGGTGCCCGTGGGGTGCCATGGGGCCATGTGAGCCTCACCTGCCAGAGGAGGGCACAGTGCTGCCTCTGCCTCAGTTTGCCCATTTCCCAGGCACAGGATATTGAAGCTGCAGATCTGGGGGTGGGGGTTTAGCTGGGCATCCCCCCTTTCTGAAGACCACCATGTCCCACAGGCTCATCTCTCCCTCCCGCCATGGCATCACCAGACGGAGCCAGTGGCGTGGGCGGCAGTCCCGAGGAGACAGAGCTCAGCATCACCCTGACCCTCCGCATGCTCATGCACGGCAAGGTAATGGCAGGGGGCCCCTGAGGGGTCAGCAGTGCCTAGGGTGAGGGGCCATGCTGCAGCTCCAGCTCCTCACCATGCCCTGTTTTCTGTGCCCTGTTTTCTTTCCAT